AAGGAAATGAGGACCTCAAGACGCTGGTTAGAAGAGGGAGAACGCGCCTGACCGGAGGAGTGGAACGTAGCTGAGGTTTTTAAGCTGAGATGGTAGATTAGGCCCCTGGACAGAGGACCGCACATGGGGCCAAAGGCACTGGCACCCTTGAGTTCACAGTGGAAAGGTGATGGCATCCTGGAGGAAATCAGGGTTCCAGGCCAGGGCAGTACATAGCGATGTCCGCTGGCTGCCCAGCTCAGGGAGGCCACGCTGTGAACAGGCCTCTGAGGTCTGGAGCGATGCAACGACTCTGGGTGCTCTCCAGTCACTTAACATATAAATGCTGGTCCCGGCTTCACTCTCACTGGACGGACTCTCTTGGGAGAAGCAGCTGGAGTTCATCAGAGCACCCCTCACCCCGGTGTTCGGGCGTGACCTCCACCCTTCAGGCCCCCCTCTGTGTGCTTTAAAGAGTTTGCTCCCCAAATCCACGTCCTCTGGCCTCAGTTTCTCAGCAGCATCACCAGTCTTCTATGCAACACTATATTTTTTGCTACTTTCTTGTTTATACTTTTTTTTTCAATAAAGATTTTTAAAATAAAAACAAAGTGTCCTTTTAAAAATATATTTTATTGTCCAGACAGTATGGCTTAGTGATTGAGCATTGATCCAGAAACCAAGAGGGTTGAGTTTCGATTCCTGGTCAGGGCACACGCCCGGGTTTCAGGCTCGATTGATGATGTTTAGGAGGCAGCCGATTGATGATGTTTCTCTCATTGATGTTTCTCTCCCTCTCCCTTTCCCTTTCTCTCTCTAATCATCAATAAAAAAATATATTTTTACTGATTTCAGAGAGAGGAAGGGAGAGATAAACATCAATGAGAGAATCATTGATTGGCTGCCTCTTGCATGCCTGCTACTGGGGATCGAGCTTGAAACTCAGACATGGGAATTGAACTCTGACCTCCTAGTTCATGGCTCAGTGATCAACCCCTGAGCCACATACTTCTTTAAATTAAATGATGTTACACAATCTCCATGGCCAGAGTGAAAAAAAGAAGCATCAATTCTTGGAGAAGTGGAACCTGGAGTCTGAGCTGTCCCATCAAAGGTAGGATTTTCAGGTTGTGGGAAACGTCCCCGCTGCAGGGGAAGCACTCCAGCATCTGGGGCCTGGGCAGAGGCTGCCCTGGGACAGAAACGGCTGTCTTCCCCATTCCCCGCTCTCTGGGGAGGTGGGACTATCCTGGTTCCGGCAGGGACCAACGAGTTGGGGTGGGGCTGGCTTCCTGGAGGGGGAGTTTGGTGCCTGAGTCTGAGCTGAGCTGCGCTGGCTGGAGGAAGGAGCCAGCCGGTCAGTCAGAGGGATTCCCTGCCAAAGGGGGAGGGCACTGCGGGTGGAGACGGCGCCCAGGGATGGCGACCATGGGCAGCAGGTACCTGCCTGGGGGGCTCGGGTCCTCGCACACATTCCCACTTCCCCCTCAGCTCAGTCCTGTGGAGCACAGACGGTCAGCATGCCTATTTGCAGACAAGGAACCAGACTCTAGGAGTTTCAGAACCTGGGCTAGGATCATAGACGCCCAGCCACAGGGGAGGAGGAGCGACGCCGGGGGACGGCCCTAGTGGCTGCTGTTTGTAGTCCATCCGACTGCCCACTCGATGGGGGATGGGTAGAGGCTCCAGCCCATAGGATACAAATATACACAGGGCATAAGCCTCCAGGTGCAGGCAATGGGGCAATGGAGTTTGCCTGTTCCTAGGTCACTGTCGTTAGCAAACTTTAAAAGGGCACCCTTGATGCCAGGTACCTATTTCTAATTCTCACGAGAATTCGTCCATCGTCTCATCCCCTGCTTTTAGCTGCAGAAAGCATCCCAGAAGGTGACAGCTGGCAGGGCTGGAGCCGGGACTAAACCTTGGGAGTCAGAGAGCGGATTTGGTTGTCACAGTGAAGTGGGTCCCCCTGCTCACCACCAGGGGCACCCGACCGGCTGGAGCCTGAATGTGGGACAACCCTGCAGGGAAGAAGGACTTGTGAGCGATCATGAGGCAAGCCGTTGGTGAGTTTGAACAGAGGAATGCTGTGATCAGCTTGGTTCCCAAAGGCTCCCTCTGGCTTCTCTGGTGAGAACAGACTGCAGGGGGCAAGGCTGGGACCAGGGAAGTGGCAGGAGAGGAAGTGGGTGGGCAGACTCTAGACATGCATTGAAGGTGGAGCCCACTGATGGGCTGTGGGGTGTGAGCAGAGTCAAAAATAATCCTATTGACGAAAGTCCCTTAAGTGAAAGGGAGGGAAAGTTACCCATATCACCACTCTAACCTTCTCCCCCACCGCCGCCCGCCCCCCTGGAGATGCTATATACTTTCAGGGTCTTACCATTTTAGGCAGACACATTCTTCAGGTTCTGGCTAAAATTCTTCCTCCTCAAAGCCTGTATTAACCAAATCTACTGCTCACGGGGCACCTGAGTAAAGAGTGCTATCCAGGGGACATTTATTATCTCTTGTAATCACTAAAACAATTTCATGACTTTCTGTGCCGAGTGTCAGGTTAGGGAAGAACTGTTACACGAAAGAGCTGAGGTAGGAAGTCCTGGTGGTGGGAGGGGAATGAGTGCAGGATCAGAGGCAATAGCCAGGGAGTTTTACAGTTTGAGGCCTAGCAAGGGGTCCATATGCAGAACTATCCGGATAAGAGCTAGTGTGTGTTTCTATTGGGTGGAGGGTGAGGGACCTCTATCTTTTCTAAGATTCTCAAAGGGATCTCTGCCCCCCACCAATCCAAATTAAGAGCTATTTTACCTGTTTCACATTTAACAGGACAGAAACAGGGATGGCGGACATGGTGGATTTGAGGGATAGGGAATGAGAAGAGCTCAGGGCTGGGGTTTTAGAACACCCCATCTTCATCTGAAGGCAGTACCCTGTGTACCAGGTGTGGGCCATCATCGCTCACTTGGTTGTTCCCGAAGTTGCGTGGCCTGGCATCAGCCCACATGTCTTCTTTGCTGCTATTGAGCATTCTCCTTCAAACCCTCCGTGCAGCCACCTTCCCTCGCTCTCCTTCCTCTCCAGCGGCTCCTTGAACCCCTGGTGTGGGGAAGAGGCCCCCCCCCACACACCTTTAAAAACATCTTTATAGGTATGACTACGCTTTTAATTAAACATTTTATTATGGAAAAATACACAACATAAAATTTACCATCTTAACCATTTTCATCTACACAACTCAGCAGTATGAAGTACATGCCTGCTGTGCCACCATCATCGCTATCCACCTCCAGAAAGCTTTTCATCTTGTAAAACTGAAACTCTCGCCCTAACCGGTGTGGCTCAGTGGATAGAGCGTTGGCCTGTGGACTCAAGGTCCCAGGTTCGATTCCAGCCAAGGGCATGTACCTTGGTTGGGGGCACCTACCCAGTAGGAGTGTGCAGGAGACAGCTGATCGATGTTTCTAACTCTCTATCCCTCTCCCTTCCTCTCTGTAAAAAATCAATAAAATATATATTTTTTAAAAAATCAATAAAATTTATCTAAAAAAACAAACAAACTGAAACTTTCTATTCATTGTACTAATTCCCACTTCCCCTCCCCCCAGCCCCTGGCAACCACTTTTTTACTTTCTTTGCTTTTAAGTATTCTGCTGACCTTTTAAAAAATACTTTTTTATTGATTTTTTTTTAAGAGAGAGAGAGAAAAGAGAGAAACATCCCCTGCAGGCCCCCTACTGGAGGTTGAGTCTGAAACCCGGGCATATGCCTCCTCCAGGAATCTGGGAATTAAACCAGGGACGCCTGGGTGCATGGGATGATGCCCTCCCCTTGAGCTACACTGGCTCTGCACCTTTAAATGTCTCATTGCACAGGGCTCTGTCCTCTGTCTTCTCTTGCCATTCTGCCTTTTCTAGATCGTCTCATCTACTCCCGAGGTTTTGAATACTCTGCACTGCCTGGTTTCTCTTTTCTCCTTATCCCATGGCAATTTGTTGATTGTTGAAAGAGCTCTTTAGCCTCAAACATAGGATTTTTAAAAAATCATGCGTTGCGCTTATGAATACTATTAACAACTGAGATGAACTCAGGGTAGCCTAAAACTCCTACAACAATTGATTAAT